CGGATTTTGACAGCCCTATGATATGAAGATGCTTTCGTACTTGCCAATGACCAGTCAGAATGCTTGTGACTAGGGGCAGATTCTGTCTAGTCATAGTCAAGTATTTGTTTGCTGCAGTGTTGTCAGGATAACTTACGAGTTCCCTGGCAATGCTGCAATTAAATATTTAAATGAACAAAAAACAGATTCATTACATGTTCATCACTATCCTTGTTGAATTCGACGGTCTTCGAGGACTAACTTTTCCACTTTTTTAATGTATTCTTTCGTAACGACGGTGCTCATCGTTTTTGACTGAATTCTTTAAACAGCCAAGTCCACCATTTCACCGTTGCATGATGGTAAACATTGCGAATAAGTGGACAATAATTTTTAGTTAATTCTTTTACAAGGTACTTTATCACCGTACGATATTTAAATTTCCAAAATGACACACAAGTTTTCGCTAGACATGCTGTTGTTTGTTTTACGTTAACTCAATAACTGTCACATCAATCATATTAAAATTTGGACGCATCAGCTATTGATATTATTGCCGCGTTTGAGAATCCACATCGGATGCATTTTTTACATCGCGAGCGTTTTTTTATCCACATCGGACACATCTGTCCCATTACATTTACGTATACTGAATCACGTGATCAAAGATTTACTACATCTCAGATGCATCCGATGTGGATTCTCAAACGCAGCATTTGTATGTACACAGTCAATTTTTTTAAACACTACCTTTTAAAACAGTCTTAATTTACGTCGAACATCCCTCTTATACAGGGTGTTGATTTGAAAAATTTATGAATTTTGAGCCAGAAACTGACTTTTTTTATATATCGGTAAATTTGATAAATTTGATAATATGGATGGCAAGTGTATCAAACGTTAAAAATATCTACAGGGTTGTTCTCAAGTTATAAATAAGGAAAGGAATTGATTAAATTGATAAAACACCCTATGTCTCGGTTATAAACGGCGAAAGACATTAAATTAGAATCACCTCGGTTGCCTCCATTCACGGTTAACGTTCGTGCGTTTCCCAATGAATAATAAATTTTTAATTTCAAATATCAGTTCTTGTCGATAAAACATTATTGGAGAGCCTTGGATAGCCTGTAGAATAGATTTTGAATCAGATATAATGCACGCTTGAACTGGATTTGACTTACACTACAGTAGTACTTTTTTAATTGCTGAAACTTCACCTATTTCTTTAGTTCCGAGATTTTTGATACAATATAAACTTGACAAATGATAAAAATGTCACAAAAAATATTAATCAATATTATATACATTAAAATGTGTCAAATTCCCATAGAATTTAAAAAGAAATCTAACGTCACATGGAATTTTAGAAAATCCTGCATATCATACATGAAACATCATATTAATGCTATTTCTGGATTAAATAACAAATCAAAATGTTGTTTGTATACATTCAATTATTATTATGAATATATTAATTTTCCATCCCCTCTAAAGTACGCTTATCCTTCGTAAACGGTGTGATGAAAATAGCGGATTTAACGACATAACTACAATTTACCTAAACCTAATTCAATTTACATACTGTCAATTGGTAAACATAAACTGATTGCATACTAACCAAAGTCTCTATTACTAACACACGAGAAGTCACATTATATCCATCGCTACCTGTCAACAACTGCAATATTGATTTCGATGTCTGAGATCCGACACAGTTCGCTAAAGAAGCCCTAGGGGTCAAACGTATATATAGATTTTCATTATGTCGCTTTTTTAAAATGATAATTCAGATAATGGCGCACTTTTTTGTAGGTAATGAAAATCTAAATAAGGTTTGGGAATTTTTGTTATAGCTTAGGCTGTAAACGTTTATACGAGTATACCGGGTGGCAATGACTTAAGTGGCTACGAGAAAAACTAGTAATTATTTAGAGAATTGTAGGACGACCGCTAGATAGAATACAGAAAAAATGTAAAATGCTTATTTTGTACAAAATTTACAAAGTTAAGGCCTTCTAAAATATAAAAATTGCAATTTACCGAAAATTCCGCATATTTTTGTCCAACAGTTTCCTTTTATCTGATCATATATATGAGGTGGAGGGGTGTAGAGGAAACCATGATTTGAACAAACGCTTATGCTTAACCGAATTTTGCAAACTTGGTCTTGTAGAAAATGATTTCTCTACAAAAATGTAATATTTATAAACAAAACCAATCCAATAAATAATGTGCATCCTAGAGGGCGCCGCTTAAACATTTTTAGAAATATAGTCTTTTTTCGAACATATTAATGGAAGTTTTCATCACGGATTAGAATATAAGACAAAATTACCAACAAATCAGCAAAAACCTGGCAACGATTTTTTTCTCCGAAGAAAAAATTATGTTTATTTATTTTATAGATTTTTTACATGGTTATACTATTTAAATCTAATATATTTTTTACACAGTTGCTAAAAAAATATATATGGTCCAACATTATCGGAAGACTACCGCATAGTTGTTTTTACGAATGAAGTCAAGAACCAAAAAACTCAGAGAGGATTGGAATATTTACAAATCTCACCTTAGAAAATACAAAAAATCGTTACACAAAAACAAACAGATGCATGGAGATTCTACTACTAAGAAATCGAAGATTTCCCGCAAGCAGCAAGGATTTAAAAAGCTCTCTCAAGAGATCCACACCGCAGTATTGGTGAGCTAATCAAAGAGAATGGCATAAAAACTGCAAACCTCGAAGATAGCATCAAACTTCTGCTGTCAACACACTTGCCGAAAACTCTTATCACAGACGTGGCCGACTGGGTAGCGAAAGAAAACAATCCAACTGTCTACGATTGGCAAACTGCCAAATATATTGTAGACGATGACAAAATTAGATGAGCAATATATAGCTTCTCTCCATTTAAATCGTCAGGACCTGACGGTATCTATCCGGCCTTACTTCAGTGAGACCTGGAAGAACTCACATCGCACCTAGTAGGTATATTCAGATCATCGTTGGCTCTGACGTAGATCCCCAAAAAATGGAGAGAGGTAAAAGTAATGTTTATACCCGAACCTGGAAGGATGGATTACACTGTCTCAAAAACAGCAGAAGCCATGAAAACTAAACCGACTAGAGCCATGGAAGTCATTCTTAGTCTCACTCCCCTTTATATTAACATCAAGGATGGTGCTCTGTTACAATGAAACGTCTTCGCACAATTGGAATAGAACTCACTTTTGGCTCCCAGTGCTTCAAGCGAACATGGACATCACCGAGATATATCTTCCGTAAATCATATAAAGTTATAAAAACAAATAAAAGAGCCTGAAGTGGCAGGAACGATTCATATCTACACTGACGATTCTAAAACAAAACAAGGCTCAGGATGTGGAATATACTCCAGATCTTTAAACCTAAACATAAAATGGGCTGTGAGCAATATTCTCAATGTTCTTCAAACGGAGCTCACGGGGATTCTTATAGCAGCAAAAGAAGTCATCAGAAATAATATTACTGGAAGGAACATGCTCATCGCTACAGATAGCAGACAAGCACTACTCACCCTGAACAGACCACGAGTAAGTACTAGAATGTCACGAAGCTTTGGCCGAAGTTTCCATCAACAATGTGGTCACCTTAAGATGGATCAAAGGTCACGTCACATAGATTCACTGGACAAGAAGACAGCCAACCAAATACTTTTTAGACCTGGCTCTTCTATTGACCTGACAAAATCGGCAGTGACAGACCTAATTAAAGAACATTATCCTGTGAAATTCAAGGAAAGATGAAACAAACTGACAATACAACAGTAAACAAATACTTGACTATGACTAGACAGAGTCTGCGCTTGATCACAGGCATTCTAACTGGTCATTGTCAATTACGAAAGCATCTCCATATCATGAGGTTTCCAGAATCCGCACTCTACGATTGCTTGACGCTCTTATTTATTGGAAGGTTTTTGTTCGGCGAGTATCCGCTAACACCTGCCGATATAAGAGAACCACCTTTTGGCGACGTTGTCAACTACATTAAATCTGTAGGCTGGCTCACGAGCTTGGAGGTGCCTATCATCTTAGGAGGATGCACAATGGGCCTAGTGATGCTTAAATGCCGTGTGGTAACCCACCCTGCTCACGTTAGAGATACAGATAGTACTGTTAAATAAGATAGAACTATATTTTTATGTTTACACCATGAAATACTGAATTAAAAGCTTAATTAAAAACTTTTGTCTATCAGTAGATATTAGCAGTGGAAGTACAAATTAATAATATAATTGCTACTAGATCTGTGTAATGGAATTTCGCAAACAAAGTAAGATTTGAAAACAGAGAAATACAATAAAGTAGACCTGTCTCAAAGGATACCGCAGTTTCCTTATGAAAAATGGCTTTTGGTCGAATCTGCTGAATTGTTTGTGTTGCAGTTTTTGAATTCCTGATTAAAATTGCCCATCTGGACAAAGTTCTACTATGACTAATTTTTGAACTATGAATTTTCAAAAATAGTTTAATAACGTAAACGTTGTTATTTTGCTGATATTAAAAAATATTAGAAGTTACGGTTTAATTCTCTAAAATATTTGTGACTATTAAAATACAATATCAACCTTTTTGAAAAACAACTATATAGAGTGAGTAATTTTTTAAAGTAAAAAAATTTCATAATGGTATTTAAAAAATCGTTTGACGCCTAAAATGATGATTATAAATTGTTCACTATCTTAAATAAGTGTCTGTAAATTATACTTTATACACGTATACGGGGTGAGCCAAAAAGATGGTTCAATAAGTGTAAATGTTTAGTTACGCCCTCTAGCGATCGTCCTATGATTTTCTAAATATATTTTCAGGTTTCTTAATTATTATTTTTTTCCTAGAAGATGTACTATGAACGGTTTCTTAAATAAGCCATTCTTATTGGGCTACCCAGTACAATATTTTCAATTTTTTCTGTTCGGAAAATTATATAGGTGCTCGTATTATTTAAAAGTTTGATTTTGAAAAAAATCACTTACCTTTGGATCAGTGCAGGCTAGTGGGCATACACAACGGCCTTCAGATGTACCATCGCTCTCACATTCAGAATAGAAATCACATTTTTTGTTCTCGCATCCATCTGAAAAATATATAAAATCAGTAATTGTTAAAAAAAGTGTTTCACTGTTATTATAATAAAGCCTGTTTTCATCTTTCTTATGTTTTACTTTTCGTTGGAAATCTGCTGTATAAAAGATCAAAGTCTAGAATTTTTACGTTTCGATTAAATTCTTCTTTAGGGCTATACAAAAACAATATAAAATATGAATATACGATTAATACGTCTTCGTAATTCGTTAAAAAATATCTGCATAAAAAAGTTAAGATTGATAAAATTGTTAAAATCAAATTTAAAACATTTTTACTTTTGCTGAAAAATGAAGAAAGAAATATGTGATTGCAAGCAATAAATTCACTTGTTTAACAAAATTATATTTAATTTTAGGTTATAGCAAAAGTATGGAGAATATAAAAGAGGGGCCTTATGGAAAAGTGACAACCTGTCAAATGTTATACATTTCTAATATGTTGTAATTCTCGACTTTTTGAGCGATAATATCCATGATACCATTCAAATCCTATGTCATTAAACACGGAAATATACAAGGAAAAAGGGACCCAGGAAGAAGACGATGTCCTGGTTAAGGAATTTTACGAATTGTTTTGGCTTAAATTCAAAAAATCAGAAAAGTTAAAAATTCTAGACTTTGTTTTATCCTATTGAATGAGTCGTTAATTTTACGCAGGTACCTGATTTAATAATTCTATAATTTAACTTTTTTTATGATTAAATAAATTAAATAGAGTACAGAATATGATTAATTAATTTAGTCGCATCATTTTTATTTTGATTTTTGTAATGTCTACATTAACAGTATGTAAAATCGATTTGATGATTAAATTGTTTATCTCTATTGATTATTTTTGACAACTAATAAAATAATTTAAAAATAATTACAAAATAAATAATATATCTTATGTATTTCTGGTTAAGACACATATTTTATTAAATAATTTATGTGATATTAAGCCTTTATGGCTTAGATAGTTGTTTGTTTGTTTTAAATACATTTTATTTACTATAATAATATATCTAGCACAAGAAGAATAGAAAAGTTGCACGATGAGAGTTCGGCTTTAAAAAGGAACTAGATAAAATATATATAAAACTTACTGCAAGGTCCTTCGTAGAGCACGCTAATGTTCCTTCTGTGCTTGCACGCCTCCAATCTGAGCTTGCATTCATTGCTGTAGGAAATTCCGTCGGAACCGCAAATTGGTTCGAATTCTGCGGGACAATCTGGACATTCGCAGTGTGCCGTTCCGGCCCTTTCCACACAAGTACCTCCAAATTGACATTCGTGCTCGCTGCAAGGTCCATTCTCGCCGCATATCCCTGAAGGAGAGACACAGACGATAAATGTGGATGTGTACGGTTACGCATTGAAATTTCATCATTAGACAATCGATCGGAATGCTATGCCGCTATCAACCCAGTGATTAATAAAATAATGCTGGCATAGAAATGGACCAAACAGCAATAGACGATTTAAATGTGATAATAGTAGTCTGTGCTTTCTTATACAGTATGTTCTAAAGTTCTAAAAGTCTTGTTTTATATTTCTATTTATCATGTAGTTTTTTAACTGATGATCTAATTTAATAAATAAGTTATATAATTTTTAGTAATTCAGTCATATGTGACACATTTTATTGGAACAAGTCTTAATCCCTAGGTTGAAGATACTTTATTTTTTCAGTTTTACAGGCAACTCTATGATCTTTTATCTGAGGGTTCCTTAAGGAGGCTTGAAGGCTTGAGTACAAGCCTCTCCTCTGGAGAATGTACCAACATTTGGAAAAACACAGTGCTATTCGAAAATAGGTACAGGAAAACAGAAAGCCTTACACTGATCAAGAGTTGTTGTTAAAAGATAGTGATAGTGAAATAAATGACAATTTATAACATTTAAATTTATGAACACTTATAATGCAACGAACCTGTATATGCGATCTCAATTCCCATCTTTGTTAGACAACCGGCCCTCCTTAATTCGCATTCAGATGTGAAAGTGCTCCCATCTTTAGAACAGACAGGCCTCATAATTGGCTCACAACTTTCCGGGCACTGGCAATGGGCTATCCCGAATTTATTAATGATGCATTCTTCTCCTTGACTACAGCGGACACTCATACATGGATTTATTCCTGAAAATAAAAATATTTTGAGAATAATAAGGTAAAAATGCGAGTTGTGGTCACGCGAAGGTCGAATCTAACTAATTTGATAAATAGAAAATCAGCAAAATACGTGTAACAGTTTGAAAAGGTATGTATACCATTTCATCAAAATAATCCGATTAATGGAGGTCAGAAAGCTCAATGTAAAATCTAATATCTTCTTAAACAATACCGACTAGGTACATCATAGCATCATAATTGATTTTTACTTCTTAATACGTCTTAAACGTCGTAGTTTATATTATATAAACTCATAATTAAAATAAGGGCAATCTGGCCTGATTTTCCTAGTATTGCATTTCATATTAACAGAAATATGAGGTCAAAGAGACGCTTTGAGATACTTCATTGATGTTCTAGAAGGCAAATAAATCTTTACATCAAAAACAACGTTCGAAATACTATTTAAAGAACATCTTTTAAGTAAATGACAAGAATCCGATTTTCGTAACAAACGATAAACAGAACCTCTTCTTATATCAAAGTTTCATACTCTGTGTGAGCTTTAAACAGTGCATATATAAATAGGCTTAGATCGCTCTATATCGGATGAAAACTAATTATCAACAAACTTTGTTTAAAACTACAAGAACGTTTTAACTCCCAAATGAAATGAATAGATATAGTATAATTTCAAATTTAATAATTTTCTTAGAAGGTTTCTTGTATCAGAAAGGCAAAAACAACATGTGCAGATTTAACAATATAAAAACAGTGTTTTCGTCCCTTTAACAATGGGGAAAAACTCGAAAAGCTTCGACAGCTTATCTTGGCAGGGGAGTCCATTCCTTTTGAGGAGGAGGTGAAATATCTGATACTTTTTCTTGATAAAAAATTCATCTGGAACACCCAACTAGACAAAACTAGAGATCAAGCAAGAATATCACTCTGGACTCTTAGGATAAGCGGCAAAGCATGGGGTATTAACCTCAAATTGATATAATGAATTCGCCAAACCATGGGAAGGTGGAACAAGGAATTACAACGGATGGCCAGAGAAAAACTATCTGGAATTCAGCGACTTGGTTTGTCGTCATCATGTGTACTATGTCTAGGATACTGACAGTAGCTATGGAAACTATGTTGGATCTTCCCATCTTTACATTTTGCTGAAAATGGAGGCCAGGATGTTTTCTGTAGATTTCTGCTGGTGGGCAGTCAATGCAAAAAAGAACTTCGATGCGACGAAACGAGACTGTTAAGTGAAATTAATAACTACCACATTCTCCGTATCGTCTCAGAGTTGTTAGTTTACCAATCTCACACAAAAGTCATGCAGTATCCTTATTCCAGAGAGAGACGAATGGATCAAGGGTAAAATTTCTCTCTTCCGAAGGAATATGCAGTGATTACGGACTGTCCCAAAATGAAAAAGAAGTAGGAAGTGGAAACTTGGGTAATTTTGCTACGATCTTTCAAGTAGAAATGTTTCTTATAGAATTGGGAGCAATCTTTCTTTGCTAACAAAGATTTGAATTGAGGAACTTGCAATAAGATGATCAAAATAAAGATATAAACCTTGTATTACCATGGTTTCAGATAAAACAACAGTTATTGGGAGAATGTATCAAAACAAGTACAAGGGAAAACCTTTATAGGAAGACTATATTCAAAAATAATAGGGGAACTATTCTCTATGACTAGAAACCAGTTGAAAACAACAGGACTCATGATTGGGCATGCTCTAGCAAAGGAACATCTGAAAAAAATATGCGTTTATAATGGAGACCTATTGTGTCGACTTTGTCTCGAGGAATCAGAAACAAGTACTTTTTGGACAACCATAAGTTGATCTCAGAGCCTATTGAACACACTTTGTCAGAGACCTGTACAAATTTACACAGCGGACAAAGGTGATAGAGTGGGTACAACGAACTAACGTTGAGTTAAAACACAAGCCATTAGTCTGCAGTGTTATTGGAAACTAACTCACACGAGCACAGAAGAGAGCAGTGGCTGCTTGTGATAATTTAAAATTGTTGGTCAATTGGTTCTATTAATTTTAGCATTTGTAGTCCGTTTTAATACGATTAAATTCCGATTTTTTTTACGATTTCTGAGCCATTACCAGAAATGGTACATTATGCTGTACAAGTACAGAAACTATTTTAATTTCTACCTTTTTATCTCATCTCAAACTCTGGTATTTCTAAAGAACTTGTCAAACCTTAGAGCTTTCAATGAATCTTGAGATATGCTTTTTTATGCATAAATATTATGCTCTTTTAGTGAAGCAATTCTTGATAAAATATTTACATTACTGGCTATAAAATAACCACTATACCCTCTTGGGCTTTGTAAAGCCAAGATGAAAATAATGGGTTTTGTTCTCGTTCCACCCGATAGGTTTGTTTTATTTTTTCATTTTCTTATACTTACGGAGCTGCTTCATAATAGTTCTAGAGTATTCATCAAAAATATACACTCACAAGGCCCCAGTCAGAGTGACCTAATCAAAGTTAAATGTCGATGCACAAAATGGTGCTAAAAATAGCGTAGTTTTAAGCGGGCACACTGTTCACGGATTTGTTGACCTCTCTTTCTAACTACAGGTATTCGTGGAAACCTCTCGCGTTCAATACTCATAGTGCACCGATATACGCAACCAGCCAGAGGGCAGTAGCGCATCATACAGATAGAGATTAATATATACAATAGTAATAAAAATAATAAAATTGAATTTATATTTCTATGTTATTTATGTAATTTTAAAATAATGTGTTTTCATAAAATTTTACTGTGTTTATTGCACAAAAACCAATTGAGAAACCGCCCCTGAAAGAGATAGTATATTTATGCTATTTTTCGAGTTTAGGTTATATACGTTAAAAGCTGTCCCAATGTATGATCCTAATCAAAGTTTCTGCATTGTAAATTTTGTTTAAATCAAACAATACACTCAATAATTCGTTATACGAAGTTAAATGAGCTGTGCATGCAAACAAAAACTTTCTTCTCTCTTGTTGATATCCAACTTTCCAACTAAATTAAACGAAATGGACAACAAAATTTGATTATCCCACATGCATTCTGCCATGCCGGTAAAACTGATTCAACCGTTTTTGAGCTTGACAGCTCCAGTTACACGGCACTCGTTTGAAGTAGAATTGACTTTGTGAAATAGGAAAAGGTCGTCTATTTGAAATTTCCCTTTATAGTTCCGCTGTAGTTTAGTAAATCTGATTAAATTAAAATGTGGATCTTAAATATTATCCTTTATCTCTTCATGTTAATCTATTCACATGTGGTGTAGTATATTTATTGTTGAATTATTAAAAAAAAATCCGTATTTATCTATTTTATTTTTACCCGTTACGTTTTCCGAGATTTCAATGTTAGCCCAGGATAAATGGAAGGCCCTCTATAATAATAATAATAATAATAATAATAATAATAATAATAATAATAATAATAATAATGACGTTGAAACCTGAAGATGCAGTAAAATAATATTTTGACTGCATGATTTATTAATCTCAATAGTTACATTGTTGAATTAAAGTAAACAACTGAATTGTGCTATGTCGAAGGAAACATTAAATTATTCAATCTCAATTTGCTAGAAAGAAATTCCTGTAAAATTTGACTTACCAGAACTGCACTTTCCCCTGTAAATAATATTCAGCAATTTTCGAGCTCGGCATGCTTCCTGTCGTAAGCTGCACCCATTGGAATACGTTTTTCCGTCTGAGCCGCACACTGGGGTAAACTCTAAGGGACAGGGATCCCCACATCGGCAAACGGGGTTGCGATGTTCGTCCAACTGGCACACTTCGGGCTCGGTGCATTGAACACCAGCACAAGGATCTGGAATAAAAAAAAATACTATCAGTCAACAACAATCAACGATGAGGAAGTCAGGTCAAATTTTTTATGTACCTAGCGGAAAATCGTTATAAAAATATATTTAAATATATTTATAGACATGGTGTTTTAGAGTGAAATATATATAGCACAGATATGAATAGAGGAGATAGGAAAATGCCATTTTGCCCGATGTTTAAAAATAAACACCACCCCCTGTAGGCCGCCATGTTTGCAATTTAAGCGTATCACGCACATGCGCGTTGCTGAAGTGTTTCGACAGAAGTGTCATTTATGTCAACTCATCTTGTTTTTTTTCTAAATCCACTATTTTAGTGAATTTAAAAACTTTAGACTATAGACAATTAATAAAATTGGAAAGACGTGTTTTGCTTTTAGTTGTTTAAACAACAAGGATTCAGAAAACCTTACATTTTACAAGTAAGACATATTTTCTACCAGACACTGTATTCTTTATTTATCAAATTTTTTAGACTATATTTTCTAGAAAACGAAATATCGTAGTACAATAAGAAACTGTATGTAGGTATCTAACGTTGATATTGTTATAAATTTTTTAGATTGAGGAAAAAGCGTATGCTTCTTGGTTAATAGCTATTGGAAGAAATCCATTGGAAAATATAATTGCAAATAACGTTATTTGTTCTTTTCATTTTCATAAAGACGATTTAATCGTTTCAAAACGAAAAGATACATTAAAAAATAATGCAATACCTTCCATAAATCTGCCTAAAATTGGAGATTTTTATAACAAAATTATCAATTTGTTTCTTTTTATAATTTTTAAGAAAGTGATAAAAAAATTGTTAATTGTCCTTATTATTTTCAGAAATTTACAACCTTCAACGAATAATATTAATTCAGAATCTAACGAGGAATTAGAAGTTGCTAGTTTGTTATTTTTTTATTGAGGGTTTAGAGGGAAATGAAAGAGCAAATGTGGTGCTGGAGACTCTTCTAAAATTGCATGAATATGGAGATATCACCTCATTATCATTTGATGGTCTTAGAGCTAATTTTACAATCATTATAAAATATACAACTTGGGTATTGAAACTGCAACTTCATATTTCTTGTATTCGCCATAGATAAAATTAAAATATTTATAATTTTAGATGCATGTCACATACTTAAGTTGGTTTGTAATAACAAGGATATTCTAATTAAAATTGTCGAAATTATTGATTTTAATTATATAAAATTGTTGCATTATATTTAACAAATGGAAGGTTTACGTTTGGGTAACAAAATTCAGAGTGGCCCATATGGATTGGAGAAAGACATAAAGGTTTGTACACTTAAATGATTTTAGAAATTTTATTGGAACTCTTTTAGTTCACTGTAAAATTCCCCATTTTAATTCATTAAGTATATAATTTTATTTAAGTCAATTTAGACGTACAAATATTAAGTAACAGTACTATTAATTGACAGACATTTGACAAACTGTTCGATTTACTAAATTCTCGAAATCCCTTTAGATTTCAATGGAAAATGCCTTTGTCTCAAAAACGGAGACTTTATGGATGCCTGAAATAAAAGCTCCAATAGAATATATATTATTCAACGAACGGTAATGTAGGGCATAACTAACGCAGATGAAGTTTGCAGCAAGTGAGTTATGACCATTACCGCAAGTTGAATACTATACTTTATCTACGACTATAACAATAAATACTAAGATGCAAGTAGAGAGAAAGAACTTTATTCTCAAATCTTAATAGTTATAGCAATGATATAAAAGTTTTAGTTGTAATTACTCATTTTGTTTGTTAATGAGATTAACTGTAAAGTTTGAACAACCAGTAAACTAAATATGTGGGACTGAATTATCCAAGTTTATTGTTTCTTTTTATGATTGTTGCATATATATGTTGAAGATGTAGTAAGTGGTTAAGGCGTTATAGAACTGTATATTTTATTTGCAGTACCTTACTTATTCTTTTCGGAATCATTAATGTACCTCTTCAGAATTAATTAATAAAGTTCATTTTAAAAATGTGATATTTTTCATTTTAAAATTTAAAGAATAATATCGTTTGCGATATATCCGTAGGACGAAAATTTAAATATTTCATAACTATAGTAGGTATAAAAATTTTCCGAAGCAGTGAATTTTCTGAAAAATGTTGTTTTTGAATTTGGTACGCTGGCCTTAAAAATAGATCCATAATCTTCTAAATCTGTAAATTGCAAAGAGTGCAATTCTGCGGCACCCGTAAAGTCCATTATTAAAGCAACCTAAAATTTTTACATACCGAATTATCGTAGGAGCCCAACGTGAGTTATAATAACTCACTGTTATAACTCACGCTGTTTGTTTATGGATACTATTAATTGCTCAAAAGCAGTCGAATAATTAATATATAATTTAATAGGAGTAGATAAAGAAACTTAAAACCTTAAAACTTAAAAGACAGTAGTTATGTTATTCAGACACCGAAGAAGAATACTGGTTTTCTAGACTTTATTTTATCAAGTTTGTAATAGGTTAATATGAGAAATATGTAAACTGTCTATTAATATATAAACTTAGTACAGATCACTTAGAGCTATTTTTCTGCAGTATAAGGTATAATAATAGTATTAGTTTGTGTGATGTTACATTTTATTTCTAGGGCTAGATATGGATGGAATAATAATCCTTCATCTGTAAAATTTTTCTATTCATATTAAGAATCTTAATGGCTATTGTACTCTTCAGGATCTTATCAACATTTTACAAACGACACTAAACAGTACAACAACAGTACCAATAGTTTTTTACTAAATACAATCAAGAGAAGACCAAGACTATTAGGCAAGTTTTTATTTCAAGACAATGATTTAATTTAAAATTTAAAATAATTATTTTGTGAATATTTTTTTCTGTATGAGAATGAGAATATATTGAAAAACGGCTTAGCCGAATTCATTCCTTTTGAGACACTAATGTAATTACAGTTGTTCAATAAAAATTATTTATTTAAATATAGTGATGTTGACATTGTCAAAAATATAAAGTATGTTAAGCCGATGCATCAGGCAAAATAAAGATGAGACGCTGAATTGTATTTGGATATGAGAGCGATAAAGATAGTAATTGATTTGACCACACCCTTTCCATGGCAAGCATGGGTTTCGGTCCACACTCATTCGTATTATTCTATTTCTCTCTATTCAAAGGCATTGTGTCTACTGGCCAGGATTCACTATCTAGCGCAACAGCTAATGAAAATTATTTTTTAAGAAAAATAAAGTAATTGTACAGTTTCGGCTGTAAGTACTAGTGTAAAACTGTCGAATTATCTTTAAAAAAGTATTTTTAATCACAGATAATTAATTACCTGCTAAAAAATGTTCATTCTCAATAAGCCTAAAATAAATTTTTTTTTCGAGAAATCAATAATCATAAGAATTATGAGTATATAACCTTGGAGGAAAATCACATATCAAGATTAATAAAAACCTTAACAAAGATGATATTGTTCAAACACTAATGAAAATTTAAAACAATAAATTTGTATTTTTTGTTCCTTATTAACTTTTATTAAATAGTTTTTTTTTAATTATAATTTATTAGGGCCGTTTTCTAATGTAATATAAATGTTTTAAGTTTAATAACAGGATGTTAACATATATTTACTGTAGTATTATAATTACACAAGGTAAAAAAGTAAAACTTTTCCACTTGACAAAATGAAAGCTTTGTTACTACCTATTCTCTCACAACCTCCGTCCATGTAAGCGGGTGAATTTACTGCCTTTACAGATTTCTTTAGTCCTAATAAGGACAAAACCGGTCAAAGACTAACGTTCTCTTTGGTAAGCAAGATCAAAGTTTGAATGTTCAAATATAATTTTTTTATCTTTGTTATTTTTCTTTGGGGATAATTCAATGTCTGTTACGGAATTAGCTAAAGGAGTAGTTGTTTTCCAAAGGCAAACGGTCGCTCGTTTTATTTTGTAACACATGGCGTAGATAATTTCTTGTTTTCTTTTATTTTAAGTTTTGGTCACATTTAAGATTGGATTTATTTTCCTTTTTTTTATAAAATATTTGACTAGCTGTTTCTGATAATAGTTTTATATTTACTAAAGAATATGCCCATAATCAAATTATTTTGATTGATGATTCTTAATAAACGCTCAAATGCATGCCATAGTACTGTGGAACGATATTTCAAATACAATTGAATACAAGATCTGAGCAATCAATATTCCCATATAATAATTTACATACAAAATATATATTTTTTAATATGAACGTTCTGTTTAAATCACGTGATTCCAGATTTATTTGCTATAAAATATATTACGGCCTTGGATTGTTGTATTCATTTCATATGAAATGGTATTTCAAACATATTTTAGGTTTTTATTTAATTTTAAATAAAGTTTCAAACAACACTATGTTTGTTATTTTTAGAAATCTCTTAAAATCCATGAAAAAAAGAAAATTATATTTCTATTACGAATTTTTATGGTTATAGCAGAAACCATAATTAAAATCCAGATTTGGCTTAATCAAATTTGGCAGTTTTTAGATGTCTAAATTATTTAGTTTTTAATAATTCGTCAACTTTAGACTTTAAAAATAATTTCTTCATAGCAAAATACCAAAAAATATTTTCTGTTGAATACATATTGTTGCTCTTTCAACAATTTATTGGATTACCTTTTGACTGATTTTAAATATTTCCAGGTAAAAGTCAATAGGATTTAAATCTGGTGACATCTTGCCGGCCTTCACTGTTAAAAAAGTTCTTATTTTGAAAATATCTTACAATTAATTATTCTAAAATGTGGCACAGCAATATCTTGTTGGAACTACATGCCTCTAGTATTTTCATTTTCCAATAGACCTGAATAAAATCTAAATACGTGTGTTTCGCCTGTTTATCTATTATAGAGAAGATGCGACCCAATCAGGTGGTTGTCTAGCAAACCGCACCATAAATTAACAGACAATTTATGCTGCTAGTGGCCCTGCCTTATAGCGT